TTTTTTGTCACATTTTGGGTTCCTGACATTGTTTTTACAAGTTTCCGATCTCTTCAATCACCTTATGGCCAATAACAAAGCCGTACGCACGCATCAAACATAGTGAAATTTGTGCGCATTTGTGCCGATGTCAGTGAAATTTTACTAAAATGAGGCCTAATTTTAAACAGTTACAGCTCTTTAGGATGAAAGGTGACCCCCAATTTTTATTACATATTCTGAAAGCACATGAGTTGTAAATATGATTTTCTAGCTCATAATGGCCGATCGGACATTGTGACATCATCATATTCCCATCTGAATTCAACAAACTAAATTTTATCGATGACATCATTTTTTAAAATACGCATTTGGGTGTATATTGCTTATTCTTGGTCGATCGTCTTCCAACTTTAAGTATGTTGTAGCTGAGGCAATTCTCTTTGATTATGTGACTTCTTTTCACATTTTGATGATGTTATCAGGGTCAAAATAAAGGTTTTTGATGACCCCCTCATCTTTATTTCCTCAAACATTTAATGACCTCATAATCAACTTAACCAGTCGTGATTTCTCAATGATATTTAGTGGGCATAAACTTCAGGTCATGGTTAAAAGTTATGTACCTTAATTTCCTGTGTGCGCGTCATAACGCGCGCGTACGCGTGCGTCAACATTAAAATGTGCTTCATATCATGCCTTTTTTTAATCAGTTATAGCTCCTTAGGATGAAAGGTGACCCCAATTTGTATTACATATTCTAAAAGCACATGAGTTGTAGATATGATTTTATATATCATAATAGCTGATCGGACATTGTGGCATCACCATATTGCCATCTGAATTTTAAAATAAAATTTATATATGATAAATATTATGAATGATAATTACTTCCTCACCAGCAGGCGTTTGTCAATGAAAGTTGATACATATATATCTCATATCAGGAGACAACATTTTGTAACATGAACATGCGCACGCGTGTCATGACGTGCGCGTACGCATGAGTATATATTTTAAAGTGTTCCAAATTCTTTTTTAAAAAAGCTGAAATAGCGTATATTTAAGTCATTTTCAGCATTTAAATATTGTTCAATCAGCACCGCGCACACTTCCTCGAGGGTCAAAGTGCGGCGGATCACTAACTCGTCCTCAGTGACGAGTTCGAATCTAGTTTTGTTTGTTGTTAAATTTTATGTGCACTTTTTATGTACCTTATGTACTATTTGAATTTCTCTTCCCCTTGGTGGGATTTTCTTGAATAAATTGAATTGAATATAGAGCATTTAATATATTGGGTATACATTATGTATAAATGTATGTAATATGTTTTGTCTGTCTGTCTGGTAGCAAGATCAGACAAAAAACGAAGGAATGGATCACCATAAAATTTAGTGGAATGGGGAGGGGGATGGTGTCAGTGGCGGACCGTAGGGTAAATTCCAGGGTATGCTGGGTATTGGCATAGGCCTATTTAGGGTTTACGAGGGGCGCGCACATACACCCCTCCCCATGAAAAAAATTTTCTTACCTACAAATCATGCTCAAGTAGTTAAACGTGACTTCAAATCACCTTATTTTGCAAGTTATCCCCTCACCTAATCACTAATCCTCCACCTTCCCACCCCCATCAGCTCCCTTCCATTTCAAGCCCCTACGCCGCTGATGCTACAGTAGGGCCTGCTAGTAGTAGAAAAAATTTCGTAAACCTACTACTACTATACAGAATTAGATTGTGTCCTATAGTCAAAATACAAATGTATGTTATTTTTAATACCGGCATGGTTGTAGTATCTTCTCGTCAAAAGAATTCCTATTCCTGTATTTTAACAAATTTCAATTCAAGTAATAATTTTTTTTCGATTTAACACTAGTTGAAATTAGATCTAAACATCAATCCTGTAACCTCCAACGTCACATTGATCAACTTGTTAATTGGTGTGAATTAAATAACATGAAGCCAAATCCGGGAAAGTGTAACACAATGCAAATCTCTTTTTTAAAGACACCCCCATCCCCCAACGTTTTTATTAATGATACACTACTTGCTAATGTACCCACTATGAAACTGTTGGGCAGTCTCCTATCCCATTTTTGATAAATTTATTAAATGAATGACTTTTGCAATGAAACTTTTATTACTGACCTTTTTAGTCTACGAGTCAAAAAGTTCCTGTAGTTTCTACTTTTGATTTATTTTGTTTTGAATAATTTTTCGCATTTATTGTCTTTTTTTTTGTAATTTTGTACTTTATTCCTAACTTGTGCAATCTCATTTATTCTTAAAAGAAATTTAAAATGATTAATACAGTATTAGATGTAATGACAATGAAAAATTAGTTAATTGTATAGTTGGATAAATTATTTTTCTTGTAGCTTAATGAATGAATTTTAATAATTAATTTTATTGTATTTCCATTTTGAATTTATCCTGTAAATATTATATATTGTAAATTCTTATATTGTAATTTTGTAATATATCTTTTTTGTAATGCAACCTATTTCAGCTCTTGCTGCCAGTTTGTATTTTTACATTTTATACCGAAATAAATAAAAAATTTAAAAAAAAATAATAATTCAGAATTTCTTCTATACTGATCATATGTATGCAAACTTATTTAAACTTTAATCACTGAGATTTGGCCTATACATAGAATACCTGATCGCCAGTGGAGGTCCTGATTTGTGAGAAGAGCATGCGCATATACTCTTGGAAGCACCGCTTCCGTTCCAGTGTTATTGGCTATTCTGACACCACCACACGGTTGTCGCAATAGCAAAGGCGTTGCAGGGTATGCTCTGACTCCTATTGACTCACTGAAAACGTAATTGGCTGATATTGGAAACCAACTATGCGGAAATTCTAAGCAGCTGAGAGTACGATGCGATACGCCCGACTGTGACCTATCCTAGATACCAAAGTAGGCCAAACAATGGAAAACTTTAGTATTCCAATGAACTGTAGCAATCAACTCGAAAAATTAAGGTTTACATAGAAGATTCTGACTAAGAAATGCTAAATAAAACGGAGAAACTGTACTTGTTTTAGCCAGGGTATGCACTGCATACCTTGCTTGCCTTGACGGTCCACCACTGGATGGTGTGCAGTTGAAGGAGTGACTGCTCTGGTTTATTATAGATCAATATAAGATATTAAAACATTATTTCTCATTGTATGATTAGGTAAGATTTGAATTATAATGTAATATGAAATACATACAGTATGCACTGATTGGTGAAAACCTATCCCTAATCTTTAATTACAGTATATATGGTTGTAGTTTACATTCTCTTTCAGCGGGCAGTATCACAAGATGTGAATGAAACAAAGTTTACTATCTACAGCATGACCTGTGGTTTACTTATGGTTAGAATAATTTTACACATTATCCCTTCACTATCAATTATGCTTACAGTGGTTTTGCTGTCACTAGTCAAAAGCATTTCCTTCAATTTCCTTATCCTGCACATAAACATTGGCTAATTGTAAAGGTTTTTTTTTTAGTAAACAGATACCCACCATCCACCACTAATTACCACTTCAATGTCTCTATCCCTTCTGTCATTTATGCATTACAGTGGGGATGCATTTCAGATGTAAACAACTTCCTACCATCCATCTCCTTAATTTCTCTATCTTTCTATGCTTACATTACAGTGAGAGGGATGAGATTTAGTTGTACAGGTCTCCCTCCAATTAAAGTCCATTTTTGGGACTGGGGTTTCTGTGGTCAGCAGGTTTGGTGATTAGAATAATAAACATAAAAGACATTTGTTAATTTGGGACATCAGAAAAGTGGTCTTTAATTAGAGGCAGTCCTTAATTGAGGGGTCTTTAATTAGAGGAAGACCTGTAGTCGATTTCACTATTTTATTAGATGTTAGAATTTGGATTTGAATTGACTATACAGCAGTTGTAATCCTATCTGTGACTAAGCAGCCTATATTTACCAATAGAGGGCAGTGTTGTACTTCTGTGTCAACTCAGGAGTAAGGGCACATTATTTGAAATCCATTTGATAATCCTCATCATCATGTCAGCACCAGGTAATAATGCAATGCCTAATACCTAACTACTCACATCTTGGCCACAGTGAGCAAGGTGTTGACACAGGTACAGTATCTAGGCCAAGTCTTTTTTTGGGTCACATTATTCAATTCCACACTTTCTGTTATTGCAATTACACCACACAAAAACAAAATGGTATGTTGGTGATTTTATCTACAGATAGCCTACAGTATATACAGGCCTAGTGTTGTGGTATCTGCCACCGCCAATTTACTTTGGGTATAGTATTTACATACAATATATTAGAATAATAAATAAATTAAATTAAATCATTTCTTACAAACCTTCTTTGTCTTTCATGTGCTATCTTTTTCCTCCGGTCATCCTCTTCCATTTTAAGTGCCACTTCTGGCTTTAGCACCCACGGAGAATCTGAATATCTTGGAGCATTCGATGGAACTTTCCGTAATTTCTGACGGCTAACGGACACAATTGCTTCTTCAAGTTCTACCATAGCCCGTTGTAATGCTTTTTCGTCAATGGCTAGTTTAGGGATGGGGTAATCCTCGCTAGCAGGGGGATAATCTTGCTCTATATCTTCAATGTTGTGGTATTTGTCATCAGAATTTTCCTCACTGCCATCTTCATCATCAATTTGTTCTGCTTGATGATGTGTTACTTTGGTTTCCACAGATACATCTCCTTCCTCTCCATCTTCATCTGCATCCTCAAACGCATCCGAAAACTGATCACCCTCTTCATCTGGAGTTCCTAACAACGATGCATTTGTATGACCTGCTAGACGCAGTCCAATTTTCTCATATTCCATTGGGCTGATCATTGTGTCTAATTTCACCTTGGCTGGCTGTTTAGGTGATTGTAATGACTGTTTTGGTGAGACACCCTTTTTGGGTTTACTTGCCAGTTTAGCAGGGGTGGATTTTACATCTTCTTGATTTGTTGGAAGGATATCATTTTTTTCCTCATTAGGTTCAGATTTCATGGAAGCATTTGCGTCTTCAAACTGACTTGGAGTTTTGTTTTTTACGTGTAAACTTTTCATGTGAGCTAACTCCCGCTCAGCTAACTTTTCTAGTAGATTTCCATCAATACTACTAGAAGGTGCTTTTGGCTTATTGTCTAATATATTCAAATCAACATCCAATATACTATAATGTTTTGGAGGAACTACTGGTTCCTGACTTGCAGCAGTACTTTCACTGCCAGTCGTTGTACAACTATCCTCCTCATCAGATGAACTATCACGATTAGCTAGTTCATAGCTATTACGGCGTCTACGCCAGCTAGCTTTAAGTGGTTCAGTAACCTCGTCTTTAGGTCTTGACTCGCTTACAGAATTTGTCTTTTTCTTTATATATTCACTACATTCTGCAAAATCATCAAACAATATATCTCCTTTGCGCGCTTCTGATGGTCTATTAGATGGAAATTTTGAGGCCGATTCTAACTGGGATTGTTTACTAGAATTTGAGTTTGAATTATTTTGAACTAAATGACTTAATTCCTTTTTTGGCCGTGTCACAAATGCTCCTGAAAGTCTTTTAGGTGAAGACTTTTTATCATGTTGTGTTACTTTTGTGGTTGGTATATTTGTTTTCTTTACTGAGGAGACAGGTGCATATTCATCATTATACCGTCCGCTAATTTTCCCAGAAAGCATTGCATCCAAAGTTTGTTTCTTACATTCGTCATCAGCATCAACAAATGATTCTGCTGCTAAACTATTCTCAATGTCCTGAATAAATTGTATCTCGCTTTTCATGCGTGTACTGAGTATTGTACTCTGCTTTACACCAGCAGGCTTTTTGGAAGGTACTCCAGCAGCAGTTCTGGTAATGGCTTTGCCATCTTCAGGAGAGCTTCTGGCAACAGCTTTGCCAGGAGCAGTTCTTTTACTTTTTGTCATTTCAGACTTTGCTTTACTAATGCCACTGCTGTCAATGAGTTCTAATTCTCCATCAGAGGAGTCCAATGTCTTTTTAATCAATGATGTGCTATTCTGTTTAATATTTTGTGGTACTTTAGAAGATGAAGTCATCATCTTCGTTTTGGATTTCCTTTTTGGTCGCTTAGTTGGTTCTGAATCAACTGAGGATGCCAATTGTCCAAGGTGACTGGAAACTAATAAATTTATATTGGAGGATGATTCTTCAGAAACCTGCTCTGCCAAAGGAGCCACATCCACCAGAACATCTCCATTATGATCAGCAACTAATGGTCTGGAAGAAGTAGTTTGCATTTGTACTTGTGGCTCTAGTCGTTTGTCTATCTTCGTATCAAGAGTCATAGCCAGTTGAAGCTTCATATGATCGACTGATTCTGGGTAAGGTAAATTTGATGAATTTGGTACAGGGGAAGGTGGTGGAGTTGGAGGTTGTACAGTCTGTTCGGATGGGCTACCTGTGGTTGGGATTGACTTCTCTGTAAAAAATAAATCATTTCGATGTCCATTGGAAGGAACATGGTATTGTTGCTGAGTTAAATAGTTCATATTTGTAGGCAAGTGTTCGTCTTCCCATTGGTCTTCTTCTTCATCCTCATTTTCTTCTTCATCCTCTTTCAATTCCTGATGCATCGGGATGGTTCCGTGTGCACAGACTGGGCCGCTAAATGTACCTGGGGATGAGTCCTCCTCTGGACATTCCATGTCAGCTTCGGCAGACTCACTCTCACTCCCATCACGTTGGTCACTTACTCCAGAAAATCCTCGCTCATCCTCACACTTAGCATCCTGGTGTGGGAAAACTACTGCACGTTTATATGCTAAACCAGCAACATGATCCTGTGCATGAATGTTTAAATCAACATGCTCATTTTCTTCCTCCTCATCTTCCTCTGATGATTCTTCATCACTCTCCTCTACATGATGCATTCTGCTATTGTTTTCGTTTGGTAGATCATCTTCAGTACATTCATCCTGTACACTGCCATTTAAAAGTTCATTCATTCTAACACGACCAAGCGCAAAATTTTGTTCATCTTTCACAACCTCTTCTGTTCCTTCTGGATGTTTATGATGGTCTTCGGTGTCCTCAGTATCAGATTCCTCCTCCTCATTAACATTATGTTGGTTGTCTGCTTCATGGATTGCTTCATCAGGAATGTCTCTGTCACTATCACTTTCTGTCATATCTTCATGTACACCTGCCAAACTCTCACTTCTTGATGGCATCTCCAGATAACCATTCTCTAAAGCAACATCAATTTTAACTTCCTCCTTTTCTATATCTTGTATTTCCTCCTCTTCTTCAACATCTTCAAAATTTTCCTTTTCACTTTCATCAGCATCAATAAAATTATTCATATCTCCTTCACTAGACTGGGATTCTGGAAGGTCACCATTTGTGGTGTCTGTGCCATTGTATGTGCCATTGATATTGGTAGAAGGCTTAGTTGCAATAAAGTCACTTTCAGCATCTTCAAAGGCATCTTCAAACTGTGGCTCAGCCATTTTCAAAATCTGCTCCTACAAGACAAAAGTAAAATTTTAAAAATTAGATTATGCGAATAGCAGGTCATTAGTACCACTGATTTTCACATGGCTCATTTGAGGGCCCAGATTGATGAGACTCAGACCAATATTATTTTTTTTGTTATCCAATTTGAAGTTGATCATTTCATTCCCATTCACTATAAATATTGCAATTAATTTCACTGTCTTCATTTGAATATTATTTTCAATGGTTTTCTTATAGCCACAGAAAAAAGTTTGGCTACTGTAGGAATCAAACATGTGACCTGCGACTAGTACCATTCCAACACTGTGAGCTAGCCACAACCCTGCAGTTGACAGCTTGTTGTTCCTATTAGCGCAGATCTTTGCTGAAGTGGCATGGCCAGGACATCATAATAATCTATAGAGATAGCCACAGACTGAAGTAGAGGAGGTCATCAATAAAGATGGTGATAGTTTCTGAATTAATTATTTATATAGAAAAAGCATTATTTAGTTTAATTCTGTAAACAATTTAGAATATACAGAAAGATTTTATTTAGTGAAAATAGGAAAACTTTAATAATGGCGTCATGAAATATGCTTAAAATGTCTTGCATTATATGCTACTACTACAGCATATGTTATTGACACTCAATAGGTTTTAATTCACAATTTTGAGCATAAGCATAATGATTTGTCCCCTGGGATATCCAAAAGGGTTGCCCATGCATACAAAATATAAGTATAATTTCACAGAAGAATAAATTATAAGGGACCTTCTATAAAAATTATCTCTTGGTATCACGTTGAAATTCAGGCTGTTATTTTGGGCCAGCGATCAACTAATTGTCTGTCACAAGTGATTATCACTATGCATACAATAGGCAAGGCTGAAGATACAGTATCAGCCTAACAAAATATAAAATCAAAGGTTAAAGTGACATGAAGTATAAGATACAGTAAAGAAACTGTGATATTGATCTATGTTTTAATTTTTTTTAAATTTTGTTTATTACATAAATGGGTTAATTATCTGTCTACTAAATTTATTACTAATTGGTTTATCATTCTTTATACTGGGTGAGCAACTGATTAACTGATATTTATTATGTTTTCTGGGGTGACCAATTGGGCTTATTGATCTTTATACTGGATGACCATTTCAATTGTTGATAAACTGGGTTTCTATACTCTATGCTCATGCTAGGGTCAAATTTTCTTTCGCCAAAATGGCGGAAGTTTTAAAATTTTTTTCGCCAAATTTAAAAACCAAAAAAATTTCACAAAAAAACGGTTCCGTAAATGAATTTCTTGCTTATTTATGGTATATCTTATTCATTTATAACCAGTCGTAAAGGCGGTAATAACAGGATTAATTATTGAACAAATGAAACAAAAATGACTGGCAGCTATCGGACATTCTCTAAGCCTAGTCCAGGGCCTAGTCCCTACTAGAGAGTGCCTCACTTTTTGATGCATTACAAGCGACTGCTGTTTCAAGTACTATAGATAAGATAGCAGGGGTTTAGCCAGAAAAACGAAATAGGCTGTCCAAAATTGAAGCCAGTGGGCGTGGCCCTGAGCCGATGGGGAGGCCATGTCCACTTGAGACCACGCCCTCTCCCAAACACATTAAGGAAAAAAGAAAATTATGATCTTTAGAGAGCATTTAAAGGTGTTTAAATGTTGGAATTTTTTCTTTAAAGGAATAGTGTTGAATTAGCTATCACAAAGATATATCAGTTATAGACATAGATTGTGCGCGGCTACTCACATAATGTTTTTATGCAGATGCATCTTCATCTCTCACGTCTAGTGTAAATTCTACTCTAGGTCCTCCGAATCAAGAGATAGGGCTAGAGCTACTATATTTTGTTGACTAATAAAATTTAACTTTCATGAATTAATTAACAAGAGAGTTACGAACACCAACAATATTATGTCAGAGAACCGAATCTCAAGTATTGTATTTTCAGAGCCAGTACGTGAGTGCATTGTGGCCGACTCAGAACCGTCCATTTTCCAGTGCGGTATAAATGCTTTTAACACAATGCGTGTTTTAAGTGAACTTTTCGCCGGGTAGGTAATGGTTAAACCTTACATTTTTGGGAATCCTCACAGAACATTGGTATGAAAACAACGTACATTCAATCATAAAGGTTGATTTTTTTTTTTTTTTCACCTGAATATGATTTAGCTTTAGTTTAATGTAACATTCGATAGATTTGAAGAATATAAAGAATTTCTTAAAGGTAGACCAGGCCCAATTAGGCCAAACTGATTATGCCAAGCCGTCACGGTAAAAGTGGCCGTCCTAAATAATTGTTGGCCATCCAACAGACAGCCAGAGGGCTCGCTGGCTAAGCCTGTGTAAGATAAATAGATAAGAGATAAGATAAGATAAACTTTATTGGTCTATTCACATATAAAAATACATGATCAGAAATGTTCCTTGAATCTGGCATAAACAATTAAAAAATACATCAACACCAAACCAATCTCAAGAAATGACACCAAACAAACATCACATTACAAGAGCAGAGATAAAATATTTAAAAAAAAAAAAAAATTTAGGGCTATAATTGAAATTAAATGATAAACAAACCAGACCTTGATTAAAAGAAATTAGATGAGAGCTACAATTAGCTCTCCTCCTAGTATCAAGGACCTCTATTACCTCTCCTTGGAATTTTTGCAAAATCGATGACAGTATTTGAAGGAGGGAGTAGTCTTGAAAAAAAAGGTATTTTTTCTTGATCGGAATTTGGAGCATTTTTAGAGGACCATAACTTAAAAAAAAAAAAAAAATTAAAATAAATAAAAAAAATCTATTTACTATCCTTTAAAAAGTTTTTATATGTATTTTAATGGGTCATTTTCAATGTGGTTTTTGAAATAATGGCCTTTCAATAACGTCTGCCCCTTGGTATTTCATACCTATTTTCGTCTCAATGGCAAATTCAAATTTATGTGCTCCGATTATACAGTAAATTTGAGAAAGTAGACATATATGTCTGATCTTAATATTATTATTTAAAATATAACGATTATGTTTTACCAAAATCTGCCTTCAGTTTATGACAAAATTAATAAAGAAAAACAGTACGTACATAGCGTGGAAATCGGAAGAAAGCCACCCCTGTCGAAAGCAATAGATTATATCATTGTAAGGTAGGTGCACAATGGGGTGTTTGTCTTGATGTTGGTCTACAATAGGTTTTGGCTGTTTTAGTGCTAGGAGTTTTTTTGTGTCAGACCTCTTTTATTCTTTTGTGTATTATGAATTACAAACTGGGTGTAGCCTACCTAGGCATAAACATTTAGTACTCCAAATGCAAAACTGGATAGCTTCTCTTAATTATGCAATTGAGTGGTTTCTAGAAAATATTAAGATGTTTGCATGTTTATGTTCACTCATGACACAGTGAAAATGCTTAAAAATAAATCGATTTTGGCACCAATGGCGTTTCATTTACTTATTTGCATGGCGTTCAATAGTATACTTTTTAAAAGTTTCTCGAAATAAACTGACGCTGGTGGTGTTTCCGAAATGTGCTAATACTATAAATAAATTAGAGACTTGTGGCAAGTCTAATTGATATATTACAAATCACAAATCTAATTAAAATGTGCTCAGTAAGTCAGTGTTGTTACATGTTGGCTTAAGTTTAAAATTAAATTGCCTACGCTGCCTACCTGTACAGTTTACTGGATAGGCTATAGGCTATATGATGGAGATGCATCTACATCTCTAGTTTTAATGGTGTAAATTCTACTCTAGGTCCTCCGAATTGAGAGACGACATACTGTATTTTGTTTACTATTAAAATTTAATTTGCGATGTTAAAACACGTCTGATTTATTTTATGATATAATTATAACCAAGGATTACACATTTTCGTCGTCACGACAACCTTTGCTGAGGGTGTCGGAGACCGTGCCTCCAAAACCCTGCCCACCAAAATTGGTTAATTTTTTTGCAGAGATGCAGCAGAGGTGTGAAAACATGTGCTTCGAATGGGATGAGGTCAGATCGCCCAAAGTTTCATAGTACGTGAGAGGATGGAGTTCAATCAACAAATAAACAAAGCAAAACAAATAAATGAACACTAATCGTTTTATTTTCGAGATAAATATAAATAAATCTAACAAATTTAAATTTCATTCTCTACAAATTTCCTCCATAATTAAAATAGAAAACATGAGTGAAGCTATGTATTTTTGTTTATAATCATCTACACTGATGAAACTAACGACGTCCGAATCTGAATTAAACATCTACAAAAAAAATCACCTGCAGAAACAAGCTTTGAGTTTTGTCTGGTGGAAGCTTTAACTTTCATTTTATGTAACATTAACATTTACTGCGTGTCATTTTAATCAATTTATATAATGCCCATGGCATATGCCATGACAGTTTGTTTTCACGGCATCTGGTAGGCCTATGCTTGTTTTGCTACTGCTTATACGATGCTTACATAACTGATCATCTGGTTCTAAAGTATAATTTTCTGTATGGACCAAATAATACGTTCGGAATTGAGATTCGGAATACATGTATAATTTTAAGTAGTATAACAACATATGTTTTAAACAATAAAATCGCCGAAGAAATATCATTTTTGCATTCTCTTTAGTGTAGGAAAGACAGTTTTGTTAGCAGGTCATGAGCAGGCAATGATCACACGGTTTGCTTTAAAACTGCCCATGCATGTCCATAGGCATGTCCAGAATGATCTAACTATCTATCTGGGAACTTGACAGTGTCTGCAAATCTATACTGCACATGCGGTGAAAATAGGGTCACTTCGAGGCGATAGCTCCGCTGCTCAAGATGGTAGCTTAGCCTAGATAAAGATTAAAATTGTCTAGGCCTATATAAAAATTTGCTTTCGCCATTTTGGCAAACGGTGCCAATTTTTTCTTTGCCAAACAGTATTTCAAGTCGCCATTCTCGAATTGGCAAACAGCTAGCGTGAGCGTAGATACTGTAGTTCTTACGTTAATATTTTTTTTAGAAATTAGGAAAT